TAAGTAACAATGTGAAGGAAATTTATTCTGTGCTCCAGATTTTCAGTTCATTCCCATGTCTAGTTTTCTGAGTGAACACAAGCCGTGGTTTACAGGGCCATGGGACGTTCTGACAATGTCACCAACAATCTCAGTCTTTGAGAAAAGGTAGCACATCACACACGTCAGTCTAATAGGGGCAGAATAAGGTGGATACTGGAAATCTGAAACACGTACAGAGAGTGCTGGAGAAACTCATTAGGTCTGGCAGCATCTGTGGAGAGATTAAAACAGAGGTACGGTTTCAAGTTTGGTGACCCGTCATTAGATCTGGAAGGCGTTGGAAAATAGATTCTTTTTGATACTTCAGACAGATGCAGAGGAGGAGAAAGAGGTTGGCTGGTGTGGACAACAAGTCCAAATGATAAAGGGTTAAATAAAGTGTTGGTAATAGTGGAGACAAAAAGAAAAAGGGATGCAAGAAGGGTGTAAATTAAGGCGTGAAATGGAGACAATGGATCCTTGCTGCTAATTGACAACTAATGGGATGTAGCTGTTGGGGATTTGGGGGTGAGAGTGAAGAGAATGTAAATAAAATGGAAGGCTTGTGGTCTGCTTCCGAAGTTGTGGAATTCAATGTTGAAACCTTGACCAGATGTCACCTGACAAAGGAGCAGTGTTCCGAAAACTTGTGATTTCAAATAAACCCGTTGGACTTTAACCTGGTGTCATGTGATTTCTGACTTTGTCCTCCCCCGTCCAACACCAGCGTCTCCACATCATGGAAGCCTTGAGGCTGTAAAGTGTCTAAATGGAAAAGGAGGTGTTGCTCCTCAAGTTTGTGCTGTGCTTCAGTGGATCCTTGCAGCAGACCCAGGACAGAAATGTTAACGTTAAGGAGATTTACTGAACTGGCAACAACTGGGGGGTCAGGGTCATTCCTACAGACAGAGCAGAGGTGTTCTGCAAGGTAGTGTCCCAGTCTGCATTCAGTTTCACTGACATAAAGCAGTCACCAATCGCTTACAGTTCTGAAGAAGTGTCATACTGGACTCGATGCTTTAACTCTGTCTCTCTCTGTAGACACTGCCAGACCCATTGAGTTCCTTCAGCAATCTCTATGATTGTTACAGTCTTCACTCATTTAATGAAACACTAGGTGGAGACAAGATCAGCCAGTCTCCCATTGAATGCTCTTGTAGGCAGTTCTGGTTCCAAGTGTTTATTTTTGGTGAGGTGAGAGATGGCATGAAGACGTTAACTAGAGTCATAGAGATGTACAGCACAGAAACAGACCCTTTGGTCCAAGTCGTTCATGCCAACCAGATAGCCTAAATAAATCTAGTCCCATTTGCCAGCATTTGGCCCATATCCCTCTAAACCCTTCCTATTCATATATCCATCCAGATGCCTTTTAAATGTTGTCATTGTCCCAGCCTCCACCATTCCCCCTGGTATCTCATTCCATACATTCACCACCCTCTGCGTTAAAATGTTGCTCCTTAGGTCCCTTTTAAATCTTGCCCCTCTCACCTTAAACCTATGTCCTGTAGATTTGAACTCCACCACCTCTGGGAAATGACCTTGTCTATTTACCCTATCTATGTCCCTCATGAGTTTATAAAGCTCTATAAGGTCACCCCTCAGCTCCAGGGAAAATAGCCTCAGTCTATTCAGCGTCTCCCTATAGCTCAAACCCTCCATTCCTGGCAACATCCTTGTACATCTATTCTGAACCCGTTCAAGCTTCAAAACGTCCTTCCTACAGCAGGGAGATCAGAATTGCACAGTATTCCAATACTGGCCTAACCAATGCCCTGTACAGCTGCAACATGATCTCCCAACTCCTATACTCAATGCACTGACCAACTGTTATGATCGCAATTCCTGAGATTCCCATGGACAAATCCTCAGGATGAACAATTGAAATTAGGAGTTTAGACATGAGAGGTGAGAAAATTTGAAATAAAGTCTGATTAATTTGAAACAAAATCTTTTCACTCTTTAAGAAATAGTTTGTCTCAAATTCTCTGTTTTATCTTGTCCGGTTATAATATTTTCGCTGTCAGATGATGTGTTTTGATATGTTTTACAGGCTCAATGTTAGATGGAGTGAAATCGATGGAGGAGGAAATAATGTCTGAACTCAACAAAATTCGAAACAATAGTAAGTTTTCAAATTTGAGTTCACTTCCATGTCACCCCCTGCTGTTCATTATCATCTAATTTCCTCAATCATTAAAGATATTGAAGTGCAGCCACTGGGCTTGGAGGGAGCAGGAATGTTCTGACATTGTCCCCAACAATCTCAGTCTTTGAGAAAAGGTAGCACATCACACACTTCAC